CCTCACCGTTGGATTCATCTCGCTCAATCTAGTTATACAATCAATTTTTGTTGAATTTTGAAATAATCATATTTTTTACGTTTTACGAGGTGATCAGGTGTCGCGTGACCAAAATAAACGCGATCAGGAATTAATTGCAAAACATGGAGAATAATCTAAATTTAGTTCAAATAAAAAAATATATTGAACTTGAAATGGGACGAGATTTAATTGATTCGAAAATAAATTAGACCTGGGAAAGACAGATGTGTGGTGCAATGAGAGCAAAGTATATAGGGAGTATAAAAAAGGGGAAAATTAGATTTTTTCCCCCCATTTCCTCAGCTGGGTTTTTCGAAAAAGAGAGGAGGGAGAGAGAAAAGAGAAAATCAAGGGTTTTTCATCTTCTCTCTACGATCTAGTTTCAACCTTTGGTTGAAATCGTTCAGGCCAAGAACTAAAGTTCATCTACTCGACAAAGGCTACGTTTACGTACAAAAAATCGAGGATTTTGACAAAGTTTCAAAGACGAGATTTTTGGAACTCAAGGCTTGAAGATTGATTTGAGTTCTTGGGAGCTTTCTACCGCTTGTATCATGCTTCAATAGGTAGGGTTCTTCTCCTAACTAGGTTTATTTTTAACCTAGGATTTCATATGAAATGGGTAGAATGAATTGAGATGAAATCTCTTGCCTAAATGAAATTCTAGTATAAGTAGAGTATGAGAAATGGTATGAGAATGAATAAAATTAATTTGCATGAATTGGGTATTGTTGAAATTGCTTGTTTGGTAATTTCATGAGAAATGTGTTGATTAGGCATGATTATGTGTTATATGATTATGTGATGTAAAGGTGTTTGATAAAATGTCTAGGTTGATTAAGCATGTTGGTTTCATTGAAATGTTATAACATGCTTGGTGAAAATTGTGGAATGTAATTGTATGTATAAGATATAATTGACATTGTGAAAATGGTGTATGTCATGCTACTCTCATGATATGATGAACATGACATTGGAATTGCAATTGTACATCACATTGCATAAGCACATGAGGCATCACATTCGTGTGCGTATGACATGGGAATGGGTGTGTGCATGATTTTATCAAACACTATTCTTAGTGGATGATGTGTGGGCTTGGGAAAGTTGGACCATGGTTCAACTAAGTCGCACAGGTTTGCATTGAAAATAGGGTCGGGATTAGCAAAAAGGGCTAGATTATCCCTCTGGTGCAAGATCCGGTGATTTGGATACGCACTCCATTGATATTGAATCCATTAAGTTTGTTGGCGCATGCAAAGCCGTTGGTAGAAATCCATAAATGTTGTGTCAGTTGGGTGCCCGTTGGTGGAAGTCCATAAATACCCACCCCAAGAAAGACCCATGATTTATAATATGTATTGGAAGTGTAACATCTATGGCAGGGGCTTGAAATGTCCAGATTCATACACATGACATTGCATGTGTTATGAGACCTGGTGAAGGCTCGGGTTACATTGCATGTGTGAGTCTTATCTCATAACATGGCATAACATAGAAAATTTCATTATGAATTGTATATTCTTAAATGGATTATTTGTTGATTGTTAAATTATATGAGCATTTCATATGCATTTAGATTAGAAAGTAACCTCTTTAGAAGATACTCTATTGACCGTGACTCACCCTTTATGGGAACAACATTGTAGGTGCGGAATAAACGCCAGTGAATGGCTCCCACTTGGGCCTTCATTGATGAAGAAAGTCGGGTTGTGACTTTGAATTACATTTTTGTACAATAAGTGTGTGAATAGTTATTGTACATGTAATATTGTATAACAGATTGAAAAACGAACTCATATGAACTATATTTTGTGCAAAATTAGATGTTGTATGAGTTTGGGTGAATGTTGTATGAGATTTGATGAGTTGGAATTGAAAAATGATTGAATTGGGGACAAACTGAGCTCTTCTACCGATAGAAACATTGATTATCTATCAGTAGAAAGATTCCAGAGAGCTCTTCTACCGGTAGAAACATTGATTATCTATCAGTAGAAAAATTCCAGAGAGCCCTTCTACCAGTAAAATGTTGATTATCTACCGATAAAATAATTTCAGTAGGATCATCTACCGGTAGAACGTTGTTTATCTAACGGTAGATCATTGATTATCTACCGGTAGGTCCTCTTAAATTTTCAGAAATTTAAAATAATATTGTCAAGCCTTCGGGCCTTGAGTCATTTTATCCAAAGGTTGTAAATGGAGTAATATTAAGAATAAATTGATGTATATTGGTCTTTGGAAGGGTCATGTGATTGAAATGTACATAGGTTAGGCATTTGGGAATGCCTGGAACAAGGGACACTCTGCCCAAATGCTGTGTTGTTTGTGATCCCGGTGAAGGGGATGTTATGTCGTGGTGTTGGGTTATGCAGCATTCACGTGTGCTTCTGCGGGTTGATGGATGATCAACAGGTTGACAAAAGACCCCCGTTTTAGAGACGTCACAATTGAAATGGGATCAAGCATGTATTACATTATCTCCGTGGGACAGTGGACATAGAGTTATTCTACACGAATGACCAAAGTCCACAGTTAGTTGGATATGCAGATGCCGATTTTCTTTCTAATCCACACAAGGCTCAATCGCAAACTGGATATGTGTTTACTTATGGTGGTACAACTATATCATGAAAATCGGTTAAGCAAACAATAGTTGCTATATCATCCAATCACTCTAAAATACTAGTTATCTATGAAGTAAGTCGAAAATGTATTTGGCTAAGATCCCTGATCCAACATATTTAAGAGCAAAGTGGATTGTTTTCAATCAAAGACATCCCAACAATATTATACGAGGATAATACAACTTGTATCACACAGCTTAAGGAAGAATATATCAAAGGTGATAGAACAAAATATATATCACCAAAATTCTTTTACACTCATGAGCTAGAGAAGAACGATGATATTAATGTTCAACAGATTTGTTCGACAACACTCCCACCGACTACATTCCAAAAATTGGTGAACCAAATTGGAATGTTGCGTCTCAAAGATCTATCAGCTGAACAATCATTATTTTGAATGGATGTCTTCAACAGGGGAAGACCTATACTCTTTTTTCCTTCGCTAAGGTTTTTTCCACTGGGTTTTACTTAACAAAGTTTTTAAGGAGGCAGTACTTAGGATCCCAACGATTTTATGAAAATTGGATTTTTGACCCTAATGTTATGCAAATAGTCATCCAAGGGGGAGTATTACAAATACTATTAATTTGAATGACTACTATACATAAATAATAGCAAATAGTACTTAGACATGACGATAAAATGCACAAATAGTTATCACATTTTATGGGTATGAGAGTCCTCCATCCTTCTACCGATAATGCAAGAAGCCTATTTATTTTGCCTTGAAAGAAGTCTATTTGTTTTGTCTATAAAAAAGCCTTGCATTTTTGAATGAAACACACACCGAATGATACATATATCTTTTCATTCTTCTCTAACTTTCAGTACTGCTTTTCTATTTCTTAATTTGTTTTAGTTAGTTATTTACACCTACATAAATTTGCTTGTTTTAGAACATTTTGATATTTATTTATCATTATAGTTTTGATCAAGTTGCATATAAGCCCTATATTTCGAACATATACGGGTGATTCTCCTAAGGCTACTAGTTAAAATGCCGTAAGTCACAAGGATGATTGCTAACATAACAGATTGAAACAAAACCTAATTTATCCCTCAAAAAAAAAAAAATGAACGACTTTAGTATAATTTCCATAGTATGAAAATATGCACGTAACTAACTGTCACAAGGTTACAAATTACAATGCAGTAGCTAACGGAGAATAAAGCATTAAAAATATAAAAATGTCTTTTATATATTTAGTTTTAACTAATCTGCCCGTGTAAAATTTGTCTTTCTTGAAAAAACTAAAGGATAGAACAATTTTCAAAAAAGAAAAAAAAATTAGTAGGATACTTTTTTTTGATCAAACTTCAACTACTCACACTAACAATGTGAGGGTCAAAGAAGACTTATAAATACACACACACCTTAAACTATCTATCGGATGTGAGATAACCCCAACCCCTACCCTCCCTGGCAGGGCCCCAGAGACACATGTCTCAAATAGGAGGCTGCTGAGCCCACCACCAGACGTCCCACTAAACACACACATGGGTTCTGATTTTTTTTATGAAACTTCAATCACTCACACTGTTGCCAAAGAAGACTTATAAACAAACACACACACCCTACGCTATCCGATGTAAGATAGCCAAAGAGGATACTTCAACAACACTATTGCCTTAGACAAATTTCTAACTTCAGACATTTGACCATTAGTTCTAAAAGGAAAAGAAAAAAATAACATTGCACTCCAATCCGTATCCCAAGGAGATTGTTTGCAATTTTCTAAAGTTAAATAATGTTTCACAGGTAATTCTTTATGCACCAAATCAACTGCACCCGTTGAATCAGTGATAAAACTCATTAATCTAATAACTATAAGTTCGTAACATTGTTCGTTGGGTAACCTGCCGAAACTAAAGGGGAATATAATGCATTTCATCCTAAAACAAGCATAGAAATAAGCAAGACACATAGGTAGGTAGGTATTAACATACAACATCCTTCCCGAATATTAGTGATACCCAATACCAAGAGCCTCTGTTCTGCTTCATTTCCATAATTTATGATCCTTCAAGTATTCCATCTCCACAGTTCATCAAACCTATGAAATTCGGATCCTTCTGCTACACTTTCTGTAGATGGTAGATCATTGGCCACGAATTGAAAAAAGATTTCACTCTATAAGTGTATTCTCTACCTATACATGATGGGCGATCTACAATTCCAGAAAATTGAGATAACTTGAGGAAAAGTGCAATGACAGGGATCTCGATCTAAATCTATGTAGCACAGTGCTCATGCTGGTCATCATTAGATTAGATTTCCAATTTCTTCAGCAGAAAGCAATACAATAGCTAATCTTAGAAAGGAAAAAAAAAATGCCGTCATAAAAAATTTCAAACTGAAGAAAGTAGATACAGAAAAATTCCCGACAGAAATAGAATATTAACCACCATTGAAGTATGAATTGCAAAGAATACAAAAAAGCGCCAAAACAACTTAACTACACTGATACCATTCTGAGAAAGATGTGTCAAAACAGTACCTAACCATTACCTCTAGAAGAAATACTTAAAAGTAATGATTTCTTCCTGCTGAGGAGGCAAGTTGCTACAAAGTTGTGTAACCATAAACTGATTTGAGTAATCACCTATCACCAATTAGCCCACTGTCGACGAGCTCTTTACTATGCTAGTTCAAAGCTTTCACACGAACATGGCACTTATGGCCACCATCACATGGTTGGCATGCTCTGCAGATCAATGAATTTCACTCTGTGAACCCAGAACACCTCTTCGCCAGGTTCGACATTGTTTGATGATCCCATTCAATCACTTCTCCAGCAAAATTGTGGCCTTGTTGCTTGGTAGGCAGCTCGAAACAAAGAATTCTCAGAAAACTCCTGCAGTTTAAGATATTTCAACAACTAAGAGGGATATATAGTGATGCCTAATGAGTGACCCCTTGATCTATGTTGTTCCCAGTTCAGGTTTCTCACAAGATTAATATACATTATATACACTTACAAACGTACTATCTTTACAACAATTATGCACATATGGGCCACACAAAAAAACGGAGGGCACACTGTCAGATAATGTTTGGTTATTAAGGTGTAATGTACATAGTTAAATACATCTGCTTCACAAATCCATCAATGTTTGTCAGAACTTGCACACAGAAAGAAATCGATGGGAATAAGATGATACTATTCAACCATCAACATCACAACAGTCTGTTTCACTAAACTTTTTATCACTAACCTTCAGCACAATTATTTGTTAGGCTGGAAGAATTACGATAACCCAACTCTCATCTGCATTTCATATGCATACCATGGAGTTTAAGCAACGGTGATTATATAGTACAGAGTTTCCCCAGTAATTGAAACTGCCATTTTAACATCAGTATACTTGACTCAATGGAAATATTGATCCACAAAATAAATTTTACTTTGAACGAATATATAAAAACCTCAGAGCTTGGAAGCTTACAATTAGAACTCAAAAGGGAGCCTCAAGTGATTCATCCCAAACATCAGCACTTCCATTAGAGGCATCTTCAGCATCTTCCTCCATTGAAAGCCTAATATATTCCCTGTGTGCAAAGCGATCCCATTCTGTCAACGTTGGGTTCTCACGCTCCTGTTTGCAATAGATCCTTGTGGTTGTTATCAACATTCTGTCAATTGTGACTAGAACATTTCCTAAGGTAAAATCAACCAATTGCTAAGAACAAATTATAATGTTTCGTGTACCTGACGAATTAGAAAAGGATCTCGTGTTTCAAAGGCCATAAACTTATTTAGGTTAAAAAGAACATTGAACATGCTGCCCGAAAGTTTGCTACTCTTCAAGTCACTCAACGTAAAATAGCTTTCATTCTGCAAGAAAAGAAGCTTAAAAGTATCAAACATCATTATTGAAATCTAGAAGATGCCAGCTATGGTGAAAGGCAAGGAATGTTCACAGTAACACCATATATGCTTCGGCTCAAATCTCTTCAAAAATTTGATCACTATCTTCCCACTTTTGTATCTTAAACACATTATAATCTCAAACTAATAGTTTGTTTTGATCCATATGCAAGCCAAGGACAGGTTCTAATGGCTGCAAAAGTTCACTAAATACTGCATCCTTACTATAAGTACAAGTCTGAAGAAGTAATTGTATATAAGAAAAATGCAGGCCCAGAACCATTTAGGAATATGACAAAGGATTCATAGTTGACAGAATGTCAGAAAATTAACCCTACCCATGTCTACCTCCGGATAGCACAAGGTTTCTGCTACACTATATTACCTTCTTTCGATGTCAGATCAGATTTTTTTAATTAGAAGACTGAACAAATTTACAACCCAATTTTTTGGGGAAAACATCTGTGCCTAATGTTGTTGCTCATTGCAACAATTGAAAGAAAAAGGTATGCGTTTATGGGGAAAAAAAAAAAAGAAAATAGGTAAGCCGAATAAGAATTGCAAACTATTAGAGTGGCCATTAGAAGTCATCCTCAAAATTACTTCCAACACATTTAGTGCACAAGAAAAGAAAATCAAAACAATCCAATCAAAAGAATCAAGTATAATATTTTGAAGAATCGTAATATAATAGAATTAAACCTCTGGTCCAATCATGTCAACTATCTGACACAAAATATCCTCAAAAAGCACAGGCTCCTGAGCCATGCACTCCATTCTATGCAACTGCTCCTCATAAAAAAACTGCATTTCATTCCTTGTAATAACTCCATTTTCATCCAGATCTATGCACTTGAACCTGAACAAGAAAATTCAATCTCATATGTACATATAATTGATAATAGAATAACTTTTGTCAAAAAATATGAAAAGTTGTAGGAATGATGTCAATACTTGAATCATCAAGCTTCCAAAGATTCTCCTGAGAGGAAAGCATATCACATTAAATAAAGTTATTCAAATGTACTATCTTTAGATGCTGAGCAATGCTTGGAAACCCCGAGTAGACTGGCCAGATTGCCAACCAATCCCACTACTCGGTAAACCATCCAATTTCTAACACTTGTGAAAACCGGTAACAGAATATCCAGCACATTCAAGTTGTTTTTCCAGATCTAAAAGTCCATTGTAAGGCTTCCGCAGTCTTCCCTTTCACATTTGCTTCCCAAAGAGGGAGCCCAAGCACCACCCTCATATAATGTCAATCTTTCATTATTGTTTCAGATTTGTTTTTTTTCCCTTCCATAATTTTCGTCAATGTCACAGCCCCAAGCTTAACATTAACCACTAATCTTAGGAAATCTCTCTCTCTCCCCCCCAAAAAAAAAAACAAAAAACAATATACACACACACACACACACAAATATATTTCTAAATACCTGTGCGATGCCTATCAATCAGGGTGTAGGTTTTTGGATGAATTATGGCACATGGGAGGATTAAAACCCTGTGATTTGATTCAAAGGAAAAAGGCCAAGTAACATTTTTTCACCTAATTGGCGTCATGGTGTGTTATATGTAAAAATTGTAATGAGAGCATTGATCATCTCTTTCTTCTTTGTCCTGTTGCGTGGTGCTTGTATCAGAAATTGTTTAGGGTGCTGAGGATGGATTCGATGATTCCAAGTGGTGGTGCTTTCAACTTTTTGGAGGAATTTTGCGGTTTTAGGAGGAGTAAGAGGGTATCCATAATTGAAATGGTTCTGGCCATCTTTGTTTGGAAGGAAGGAAATAGTAGAACATTTAAAAGAAACAACGAATTATGTCAAATTTCTTTTTGAGAAAGTCAAGTTTCTAGCTACCTTATGGGTTTCCAATTTGAGACATTTCCATCTTTTCGGTACTCAAAGTTGGACTGCTGATTATGGATGGTACGACTTGTTCTATAATTGTAATTTGATAGTTTCAACTCTTCATACTCTTGGTTGAATTCCTTAGGCATCATTAATACATACATGTACATTGCATTTTTACCTATCTGAGAGTTGAGGGTTAATTACAAGATTAGTGGATATGTTAATGATAAAGAAGGTGCAGACATACCAGTACTCAAGACTAGGCTCAGATGATTTATCCTCCTCTGACAATATGAAGTAAACAAAATCTTCATATCCCATCTTTCCTTCAACCTTACTGGTGAACTTTCTTGGAACCTGCAATACTGATAAACATAAAGAAACTAGAAGACAAAAGAAAGCAATCAATACTATATATTCTTATCTTTTGAGCAAAGCAAACATGTCTTAAAACAAAAGCACTAGATAAATGAAACAAACCTGAGAAAATATTCGGTCAACAATCCTGTAGGTCAGTGCGTGATTACCATATCTAATAAGGTTCTCTTTATCGATCAAAAAATCATGATCGGTATCCAGCTCCCAAAACTTGCAATATATCACATAAAAGTGTTCATAAGAGAAGTACCTGCAGTGAAAAATGAATTTGTAAAAGGAAAATTATAAAATGATAACAGCGATTAGAATGTCATACAGACACATATAACAAGAATGAAAAAGGAATACACCTATGCTCCTAGATAAATAATAGCAATGCATTATATGTTTCCCATCAAGTGGGATATCTGCATGACACTATTAACCGATCTGTGAATTGAGGAGTTTGAAAACAAGGTTATCTGATCAACTCATGCGGAAAGCATTTCTTAGTACTGGCAAGCTATCCTTTTTTCATTTTATCCTACAAACCATACCAAGAGTCTCAGAAACCAGCACATGTTAGACTAACTCATAAATATAATACCAGAATAGCAGTTCAGAGTAGCTTTGGCAAGCTTCCAGCTAAATTTGTACACAAAATGACCTTAAAAAATTTATCAAAAATTAATTTCTTCAAACCATATACTACTATTACTGCTTTTAAGGCTTTCAGCAACGAATGGTTGGAGAAAAGTATAACCCCTTCGAAGGAGGACTCTCTCAGGGAAAGATATGAAATTTCAAGCACGCAAGTGATTACTATCCATTGACCTAAACCAAGATTTCAGGTGCTGCTATATTTACCTCAAAACTTTGTTGATGTCCTCTTCTTCATCTGCATATTGCATTGCCACAATTAAGTTTCCGCGTTTCAGCTCCCTGAGGGTAAGACAACCATTACCCGATCTATTCACGTAGTAAAATATTCTGTATATTACAGTTTCAGCTGCCCAATGCAATAAAACTATAGGTTAAAAGAAATCAATAGAGTATGGCATCTCAAATGGCACATAGTCTGAAAATAGTCTAAATTTCAAAATATAAAAAGCCAATGAGGAGCGAAAAGATTTTAATGCCAGCTACTAACTAAATCAGCACTTCCCTCCAGGCTAAGCAACTTAATGAAATGGAAACAAAACCGAATCGAAAAAGTAAGAAGAAAAGAAACAAGAATTGAAAGCCAAATAAATTGAATAGACATAAAAAAATATCTCAAAAGAATAGGAAGACCAAATCATATCCAACATGGCCTTACAATTACCAAACACCAAAGAAACGCAAGGCTGGTTTATCCAATGTTACCCGGATGGTGGGTCAATGTGGTTCATGAAACAAATATGGATACAATGTACAATATTTTTTCAAGATATATGGTGTGATTAGGGTAAACGTAGTTGGTACGTTATTTTTAGTCGTGGTTCACTTCATAACTCTCATCCGGATCACTTTGACTATTATATGAAATTATTTTTATAGTTGACTAATATTTATTTTATATTTATAATAAGTTACTAAGGGAATCAATCTGCTAATGGTTGTAGATTATAGAAGCTAATGGTTGCACATTTGTATTACAAGAAAAAGTTAAATCACAACAAATTAAAATATAAGTTTAAAGATCACCAAAACAAAGAAATAACCACTTAGAGTCACAATTCGAGGTTTAAGTTTATTACTTGGGATTAATCAGATCATCAGTTGGTTAGTGATATGAATAACAATTTGGAGTTTAAAATTTTAGTCATCTGGATCACGAACCCACACTATTTTGGAACGTGTTAACCCGGATCTCCGAGTAATTATGAGTTTGTCTTTAGTGCATCCATTGCTTGTTTGGTTATCGTAATATGGAGGGCATTAAAAACACATAATGGACTAACACTCTCTAATCTGGTCTTATACTACATTTGAATGTAAAAAATTCTAGCACTATGTATAGGATTATAAGATACACATATATTTAACATGATTTTAATACCATCTACCCGTACAACGTAGCTATTTTAGTACCATTTTTTTTTTTTGGGGGGGGGGGTGTATAATCCAGCCCCATCATATTATATTACCAATTTACTATGTTACCCCCACAAACTAACCCCATTTGTTTGCCACCACCAACATATTTATGTCAAAAAAAAAATCATTCACACTCTCTTAACTTTTGGCCAAATAATATGGTGATTCCCTGATAGTTCTAAGATGACACGTTGACCCTCCAATAAAACATACGCATCCCATTCATCAAACGTATGTAGATACAACTAACAGTAGACAAGGGCGTCAATAAAAATCCAAAATATTTTTAAACTACCATCTACAATAAACTAACATTCAAAGTATCACATGAAAAACGATTTTCA